GATGAAGAAGGAATAAAAGTCAAAGCACTAGGAAAGAATAAAGTACCTAAAATATATGATGACAATGATCAAAGAAAGAATTAAATTTAATAAGGAAGAAAGGGTCAGAATCAATACAAATAAAATCATGTTTGATTCTAACAAGAAAATTAGAATAAGGAAGAAAGACCCAAAAAATGAAATATACCCAAATAACGATATTACTTTAGAATATTGGAAATCGTTATATGAAACACAGGTGAAATTAAATAAAGATAATTGGAAAATAAAACAAATCACCTCGTGGAATGAAAGCTACAGAAATTATGATAGTGTCATAATAACATTAAATGAATTAAATTTAAGTATAATGAAAATAAATAATTGAAAATATTCAATGAAACAATATAAAATTAATAAAAGAAATTAACACGATGATAAAATATGAATAATAAATAAAAAGAATAAAATTAATTTAATAAATGATATGAATAATGTTTCATATCATAATAACAATGGATATAAATGAATATAAATAAATAAAGAATAGAATAAATAAGAAATGTTAAAATAAGTTGAATAATAAATTGAAATAAAAGAATAATAAATATAGAGAGTATTAAATTAAATAAAGAATTGAAAATGATATTATTTAAGAAGTTAAAATTAATGTTATTAGAAATATGAATAACTTTATTAAACATTAACCCTACTAAAATAAAACATATTCATTTGAATTATTATAAATGGATAAATGGAATTGATTTATCTGTAATGAATATAGAATAATAGAAACTAATTCTATTAATACTTAATTATTTAATTATTATTTATTATAATGAACATTTAAGTTGTGACATTTTTATAGTTTAAATTTTATGTTGAACCAATAATAGACAATCGTGTAATGAAATTTCAATGATGAAATAGAATAGAAACATCACCAAGAATGAAATGTACAACATGTGCAGATGGATATTTCATGAGTTGGATAGGAGAATGTAAATTAACAACAGAAATTAAAGGATGTAAAGGAGAAATAGATAAAGAATATGGATGTAGAGAATGTTCAGAAGGATATTATTTAATAAATAAAGAATGTTCGAAATGTAAAGAGAATTGTACAACATATTCAATAAATAATGAATGTAATAGTTGTAAAGATGAATATGTATTAAAAAATAAAGAGTGTATCTACTATTTAGATATTAATAAATGTAAAGAAGTAAAGAAGAATAAATGTTCAAAATGTTCATTTTGGTATGGAACGAATGAAGAAGGAAATGAATGTAATAAAGAAGTAGTATGGTGGATGATAATGATAATTGTCATTATTATAGTTATTATCATTATTATAACAATTGTAATGATAATAATGATGGTTAATTACATAATGAAGAGAAGAGAAAAGAAAGAACGAGAGAAAACAACAACAATGTTCAAAATAACACAATCAAATATCAAATTCATACCACTTGGAGATGGAATATTAACAAATAAGAAAGAAATTGAACTTCAAGAAGGAGAAGAAATTAAAGTGAATGAAGAAATACGAGAATTAATTTGTATTGGAAATTCAAAGAAAGAAAAGATGAAGATACAAATAAGTAGTAAAGAAGAAAATGAGATTTGTTCAATTACAATAAACCAAATATCATTATAATTGAAGGAGGATATGCATGTGAATTTGAATTATTCATTATAATCAAATGTACAACTAAAATCAGTGATAAACTAATGATAATTAGTAAAACACTTAATAAAGCACAAGAAGAATCAATCAAAAGTATTTCTATTGAAGGAGAAACGGAAATATCAACACGACTTGATCCTGATGAAATAAAAGAAGAAAAGAAAATAGGAGAAGGAACATTTGGAATTGTTTATGTTGGAGAATTTAGAGGAAATAAAGTAGCAATTAAGAAAATGAAACAAGTTGAAGAAAGTGAAGATAAAAAGAAAGAATTTGAGAAAGAAGTAGCAATGTTAGATAAATTTCGAGATGAATATATCATTCAATTTTATGGAGCAGTATTTATTCCTAATAAAATATGTATGGTAACGGAATATGCAGAATATGGATCAATACAAAATATAATGAATAAAAGAAACATCACAGAAATATCAAAGAAAATACGAATCAAATTTCTGATAGATGGAGCAAAAGGAATTTCATATCTTCATTCAAATGGAATGTTACATCGAGATATTAAACCAGATAATTTCCTTGTTGTATCACTTGATGATAACATTGAAGTTAATTGTAAATTAACGGATTTTGGAAGTGCAAGAAACATCAATATGATGATGACAAATATGACATTCACAAAAGGAATAGGAACACCAAAATACATGGCACCCGAAGTGTTAAATCGAGAACATTACAAAATGCAATCAGATATATATTCATTTTCAATAACAATGTTACAAATCATTACATGGCAAGATCCATTTCCTAAATCAGAATATCCACATCCATGGGATATTGCAGATACAATCACAACAGGCAATCGACCAAACATAATACAAGAAGTAGAAGAAGATATTAAAGAAGTTATTGAAAAGTCATGGCAACAAGAACCAAAAGAAAGAATAAGAATAGATGAAATTGTAAGAATGTTAGAAACAGTTTACAGTAATAAGTGAATAATTCAATTGATTGAAAATTTTATTGTTATTATATTGAAGAGTATATATTTAATCTATACAAATGTTTGTTATCATAGTCTTTAAATTGTAATGTGTAAATTTAATGCAAGAGTAAAGAAAAAATGAAACAATAACAATAAACAAAACATGTAATTTTTAGTGTAGTATTAAAATATTATATCTTTTCTCATTTTCAATTTGAATAATAGAAAATGACTCTCAAATCAAATGACTTTAATATTTAGTAAAACTCTTCAATTGTATTTGAATAAACACATTAAAACCTTTGAAAATAATGTTTATATAAAAATTTCCTCTTTACTAATTTATTATTCTTAATTTAATTATATTCAACATGAGAATTTCCAATCTAAAATAATTTTGTAAGTTGATTTACTGTATTTAATAACTTCAATATGTGTTTTTTATTTACAGTGTTGTTGTTCTTAACCTTGTAGAGTTGTCTTTCTAGTCTCATTATTAATTTAATGAGCTATTCACATTCCATTTGATAATAAATATTTAACATGAATTATTCTAATTCTATTATTTTATTATGTTTTAACCATTTTGTTGACTATTATGGTGTTTTTATTTCTTTTTATTGAATTAGTACAAATAAAAAAATAAAATGTTAAATATTAAACAATGTTTCGTCAACATTAATTATTAAATAATATTTACAAAGAATTTATATATTAAATGAATAGAATGAGTTTATCAATTGAAAGACATTTTAATTTACTAACTTGATATGATATAAAATTAAAAAAAATGTTTCTTATTATCAAAGGATAATATTCACTTCGTTTTTTTTTTCATAAAACGTAACAATTTCTCTTAGTTAATAGACTAAGTATTGTGTATTTTATTAAAAACAAAATAAATTATTCTGATTTTTTATATATTTTAAATAAAACTAATTTAATTAAATTATTTTTTTCCAAACAAATACTGAATGAAGAAATGCAAAGTGTATATCATGCTTGTTAAAAAGTTATGAAAAGAGAAATAAACGAAATGAATAAATCAATAAATTTGAAAGTTTCAAATACCTTTTTTTAATTAACAAAAAAAAGCAAAGAAGTACTAAATAAACAAAATAAAAGAACAAAAAAAAAACGAGATAAATTAAAAATATAAATTAGGAGCATTGATAAGCAATAATTTCGTCAACATTAATAGAGTCTTCTCCAGTAAATAAACAACAGCTATATTGAGTAGGATCTTCATATTTAGTATTAAATTCTGGATGAATAACAGAATTTTCATCTTTTGATTTTTTAATAACACAAAATTTTTTAATAACTAAGGAATAGACAATATTACTATTTGGAAATACAATAAGAGTCATTCCTTTTCCTTTTTTTCTATGTAATATCATTGGTTCAATATTAAATGGATTTTTTAATGTAAAAACAAAATGTTTATGAGTGTCTTTGACGTATTGCATTGATTCTGAAGGAACAGGAATATGTCCAGCAATAAAAGCTCCAAAAGCCCAACCTTCAGTTGTTGTTATTAAAAACAATATATTTTTTCTTCCATGAATCTTTCTGTTAATATCAGCACTTGAATTTCCATCTTTTTTATTATTATAAATTTCTTCAAAATAATTTAGTTGTGTCCATTCTTTGAAATAATTCTCATATTCATTTATCAATTCTTTTGATTTCATTATAAACGGTAATTTAATTTTCAGTTATTTAGTTCATTTAAAAATGAAAATAACTGAAATTTAATTGTTAGTTTTCTTTTATTTTTATCGTTTTTAAAAATTGAAAATATTTTCTTTTTAAAACCCTGCTCAAAATTTAAACCATAAAATAATCTTTCTTTTTTAGATGTTTACACAATCCAAAGGATGTACAATTTTTTATTTTATGTCCATGTTAATTGTGTGAGAGAATTCTTGAAATATTGTTTAATTCTTATTGAATTGAAATATTATTTTTCAAGGTACAAAATATTTTTAAATAATTTTATTGAAAGAAACAATTCTTTTCCATTGTATTTTCTTTTTTTTTTATTAAAGAGTTGAATAATAACTGTTTGGAAAAAGAATAAGTAAATTATAACAGAATTTTTGTAGTTAATATTTTGTGTTTTTTTAGAAGTTTAAAATAACGAATATACTTATTTATATTATTCATCTTATTAATAAAATAGCATTAACATCTCATTAACTTGTCATCATTATTGATATAATCAAATAACAAATATTTTGTCAGTCAAATTATTTGAAACTTTCTAAACTCTGAAGTTATTTCAAATAAACTAAAAGTAGTATTTAAGAGTATTATAATAATAAAGAAAAAATTAAAATGACTTTATAATCAAATGTATTGTCATTTTATTGTTAACAAGTATCTTTTCTTTGTATGTTTTTTATTGGATATTCTTCTTTATTATATTTCATATAATCTCTTTTTTTTATCTGGGTATTTTTTAATTATTTCCACTACTCTCCTTTTTCAAGTGATAGGAACGACGTCACTAATTATCGTCCTATCAGTTGTACAGTAATTATGAAAGTATTTACCTCCATATTAAAAGAAAAGATTCACAGAAGACTTAACATGAATAATGAATCATTTAAAATTAGTAATAATCAACTGGGATGTAAATTACAATCTCTTGATGCTAAAGAAGGAATAAGAAATAGTTATGTGTTAAAGCAGAAAGAAGAGAAATACCCAAAATATGATGAGTCATATTATGACATTAAGAAAACATATGACACTGTCAACAACGAATGGGTAATTGAATCATTAAAATATTTTAATTATGAGTTTGTCATCATTGACATTATTGAAAGTATGATGACTAGATTGGAGATATTCATATTCTATAAATTTAATGAATATCTAGGTAGTATTAAATTAAATAGAGGAATTTTACAAGGTGATTCCTTATCAAATCTATTACTTAACAACAAAAAATTTTATCAAAATTAATTGAATTTTTATTGAATTTTATAATTTTTTTTTTCAAAGTTTTTAGGTTATCATTTCAATATTTCAAATGAAGAAAGGAGTTATTATAGGAATTTCAATATTTATTTCAGTTATAGTGTTTTGTTGTTTACTTGCCTTAATCATTGGACTTGCAGTTGGATTATCAAAGAATAAAGATAACAAAGAAACAATAATCAAATTTTCAAAAACAGATGGTTTTCTTGGAAATCCATTAAAGGGGTTTGGGATGTGGTATGGAAGTGGAAATACAGCAAAGTTACCTTTAAGTATACAATATGTACGATTAGAATTAAATAAAGTATTAGTTGGAGAAAACAGTGTTAATTTAGATTATCTTGATTCGATTTTAGAACGAATAAAAGAAATGAAAACACAAGCAGTTATTCGTCTTGTTTTAGATTCACCAAGTGAAAGTAGTTTTGTTCCAACATACATTCAAAATAAAATTGAGATGTATGATTATAATGGTGCTTCAGGAGCAGGTAAATCACCAAATTATAATGATGAATATTTATTAACACAATTAGAATATTTATTCAAAGAATTAGGTAAGAAATTTGATGGAGATCCTCGTATTGGATTTTGGCAGCTTGGAACTTATGGACATTGGGGAGAATGGCATACAACATATATTACTGATAAATCAAAAAAACCAACTGATGAAACATTAGATAGAATAATGGATATGGCATTAAATAATTTCAGAGTTACAATGTGTGAAGTACGAGTTCCTGAAACAAGGTCACAAACAAGAGGAATTGGATTTTATCATGACATGTTTGGTAATAGTGATCATGATGCTTATATGGATAGTCTTATCAATAGATATAATGTTCTTGATCGTTGGAAAACTTTTAGTTTTGGTGGAGAAGAAGATCCAACACAACAATCAACTCGTTTTGAATCAGACACAAAAACACAAAAATTCCTTAATGACACTGTTCATTATCATGCTTCTTGGATATTATCTAATTGGTTTTTTGGAAGAACTCAAGACTGGATACAAACTCATTCTGAATGGGTTGAAAGAAGAAATAAAGCAGAAAGATTATTAGGATATAATTATTATGCCACAGAAGGTTCAATCATTAAAAATAGTAATTCTATTGAAATTAAAATAACAATTACGAATGATGGAGTTGCTCCATTTTATTATCATTGGAAAATTCATTATGGATTAGTAGACCCAATAACTTTTGAAGTTCAACGAGAAGAAGAATCAACAAATGATATTTATGGAATTCTTCCTTTAACAAATAAATCGTTTAGTTATACTCTAAATAAAATTGATGAGTCACAATCAAATCTGACTGTTGCTTTAAGAATACCATCTGGAGTAAATTCTCATCTTTTATTATCTAATACTCAACAAAGAGAAGATGGTTGGTTATTATTCAAATAAATTAAATAATACATTTTATAAAATTATTTGTTAATATTTAGCATTGTTTTCGTAAGAAAAAATAATAATATTCTTCTCCGCATTTCAATGCCCCCCTCTCTTGACCATCGTCCCATGACGAAATAAATAAATTCTCAAAACAAATTTTAAGAATTTATTTCTTAGTAATTGTTATGATCAATTCCTTTTTACTTTTTCAACGTGCCTTTAGATAATTATTATTTCTATTATAATTATCCCTTTAATATTATCGTTGAATAAAATTTTAAGTTTTGTTTTTCAATTTTTTTTTTATAAAAAAATTAAAAACAAAAAGAATTATTTGTGTTTTTTTAATTTAGAATTTGCTTGAGGATATTTCTCTGGGAATAAAGCACTTTTTATATTATTTAAAAATCCATTATCATAATAATTAATTAATGAATCTGGATTAACAACTTCTTCTAAAGAATTATCGTTTTGCTGTTCTTCAGTCATGTTATCAATCTCATTAAGATATTGTTGGTATTCGTCATACATTCTATCCCATTTAATTTTTTCATATGTAGTATAACCTTTACTAGTAATATATAACTGATTTAAAAAGAAGCATAAAACAGCAACTCCCATAACCGAACAAAGAATAATCATCATAATAGTATATCTCATATAGTTAAATAGTATAATAAAAGTCAATGATAAGTCTAAAGGAATAGTGGTAGTTGGAGTAATAATAGCAGGATGTTTTCCTGTCATATTATGATCTTCCATAAAGTATTTAATAGCAATAATACAATAATAAGATATAGTAATTAATGATATAGACATAGATAATAAGAAAAATAAAAAGTATTTACAATTTTTTTCACCAACACATTGATTAATCCAAGGACAATGATGGTCAAATCGAGCAACACATTTACCACATATTTTACAATGTTTACTTCTAGGTATTTTTTCTAAATGACAATATTCACAATTTGATTCTCTTTTATATAAAATGTTATCATATGGATATCTATTTTGATATACTTTTAAGTTAGACTTTTTAATATATCCAGGAGGTGTTTTAATTGCTAAACAATAAAATATTAATGTACCAAGAAATTGAAGATGAGGGAATATTAACCAATGACCATGTGAATTTAAAACTTTCATAGGTTCAATAGCTAATAAAACATAACCAACAATAATAAGAACCCCCATTAATATAATAAGAAGAGGATTTGGTTTATAAAAAAGGTATTCATTTATTCCGTGAATAATTTTATTTTTAACATAAATACTTTCATACATTTTTCCTAAAACTGAATCACTTTTTGCTCTTGAACCTACTAAAGAGATAATAATAAGTATTCCAACTATTATTATAAGAAATAAATAAATGCCAAGTAACATCTTTTACACTTATTAAGTAATGAAAGAATTTATAGTTTTTCTCTTTTGTTATTTAAAAGAAATATCCAGTAAAATAATAAATTTGTTATAAATTAAAAAAAATTTTGTCATCAACAACAGATTTTTTTTTTTTTCTTAATCACTTTTTGATTATTTCTTTTTTCTTTCACAATTATCACATCCTGTACACTTCTCTTCATTAAAACTTTCATCAAAATACATTAATTGAATTTTTCTTCTACACTCAGAAGTTATACATAAATTAACCATTGCATTAATGGATTGTTGTTGTGATGCTGTTAATTCATTTTTACCCATATCTCTTTTTAGCCATTCTACTCTAGCAATGTCTTTCATACTAAAATAAATAATACAATCACTTGGTTTTCCATCTCTACCTGCTCTTCCTGATTCTTGAAAATATTGTTCAATACTTGATGGCATAGTTTGATGAATAACAAATCGAACATCTGGTTTATCAATCCCCATTCCAAATGCAACAGTAGCACAAACTACTAAAAATGTTCCATTCATCCAATCATTTTGAACTTTCTTTCTTCTTTTAGCATCTAGTCCAGCATGATAATGAGTAGCTCTTATTCCATAATTAATAAGAAATTTACTTAAACTTTCACAATCTTTTTTAGAAAGACAAAATACAATTCCACATTGATTTGGATGTTGTTGAATATAATGAGCAATATCAACTTCAACCTTTGGTGATTTAACTCTCGTTTCATATCTTAAATTTGGTCTATTAAATGTTTGATTAAATACAATAGCTTCTTCAAGTCCCATAGATAATAAAATATCATTTTTAACTCTTTCTGTTGCTGTGGCAGTAAACAGAATTGTTTGTACTGATGGAAATGTTTTTCTAAATTCTCTTAATTCAACGTATGATTGTCTAAAATCATGTCC